CTGTGAGTCGAAAAGCTTGGATGTTGCCTCGAATATTGCAGGAGTTGAAAAACTGCGCTCGGAAAACTTGCGGTTGCGGTCAACCTGGAGGCCATTCGATTCGAGTTTTGAATGAAAGGAACGTTAGTGATGGTGGAAATTTGTGTCCTCTGTCAAGCCTGCAAATAATTTTTGTCTATAGGCAGGTCATTTGTCAGGACAAAGACAAGTTTTGACCTGACAAAAAGCCAGTCTGGTCGGAGAAAAAAAATTGTTTGTCATTAGAAATTAAAAAGAAGACATTTGAGACATTTTGGTATTTCTGTGTAGACTCTTCGCCAAAATTCGAATAGTTTAAAAGTCAACTGAGTGTAAAATCGCTACTACTGTAGCACCAGCAAGGGGACCTTTACATTACGTCTGGTATTATTTTACCTGTTGAAAATTGACAAATTTACAAACGTTTATACCCCTAGTCACACAAGCGTTTCCAACGTAACAAGTTTCCCACGACGTCTAGGGAAAACGGGAAAAGCGATGAAACAATCTCCCGCGTGGACAGCTTGTCAGTATAAAACCTCACAATAACATTCAGAGACTTGAAAATTGGCTGAAATGAATTCTTCGACTTTTTCTGAAAGCAAGTTTCCTCTGAAAGCTTTTGGGGTCAATTGAATAAAAAATTTGCGTAATTATTTAAAATGAGGAATTGGAGGCGGTCGTGACTATAAAGCGTGACTAATTTGTACGTTCGCACTTTTCACAAAAGCATGTCTGTGGTGCGGAAACTATATTTCAACCACACTGACAGACGTAAAAGAACTGTAAAGGGTTAAAAATTAAACTGAGTTTTGATCATACGCACTAGAAAATATTTGGTTACGTTTTAGAGGTTTTAAAGTTTTTGAAGGCGATTGCATTCAGATAAAAGAAACGTGAGAATTTGGGCCGTGTATTCAATTTCCATAATATCTTAATCGGGTCAACGTATTACGACTGAAAATTAATTCCACAACACTTGGTGGTGACAAACAACGAGTAATTCAGACTAAATGGGGCTTCACGATCTTTCACAACGCCGCCGCAAAATGCGTAAATTAACACGCAGGAATAATGCCGCTGATGTGATGTGTTTACAATTCGACATAACATTTGAGACGGCGCGTGATAAAATTCTCAGAATTGGAATAAAACAAAACCGATAACAAAGCTTTTTGCGTAGTATTGTGTGGCAATATAAAAAACATAACTTGTCCCATATTCGGCTACAAATTTCCAGTTAAAATATTTTTTTTCATTTTAGCAGAAATGCCCGGTCAGAGTGTCCGACCAGGCTAAGCGTTTACCTGTCAAAACCTCAAATTTACCGGACAATTGTCCGATGACCGACTGTTATTTGCAGGCTTGCCTCTGTGGTTGGTGATTCTCAAATCAGTGTGAAATAGTGTCGGAGACACCTTTTAGCTGCGATACAGTTGGCCGTGAGCTGTAGTGAACTATACTTTGCTCGCTGCTGTGCCCTGAAACGGACCGGAACAATCGCATCGGAAAGCAAGGTTATGTGTTTATTTTCACTGATTTTAAGAAGTGGTTTTGATAATAGCTAGATAGATAGGCGTCCAAATTCACACTGTCAGGAAAGAAAAATGACCGGGAAAGACATGTAAAACTACCGGAATTTCTTACTACCTCAATCAGGGATTCATAAACGCGAAAGTTGAATTAACCCGTCTATCCTCAGTTCTTCCTCAGCTCCTTCGCAGGTGCGTAAACACGTCGTCGCTCGCTCGTCGTTATGCGACTCATGTGGCTAGCGGTAAAACGGTTATAGTCGATAGGCCATTTCCGAGTTGCCTTTTGCCTCTGTGTCAAAACGAGTCTTCGTCGAAACCCTTCATTCGAAAATGAGCGGTTCCCCCTACAGGTTCATTTTCATGCAAATTAAACTAATTTCACATGAAAGGCTTTGCACGAGGACTCGTCTTGAAACAGAGGCACAAGCTAACTGTTTTTTTTTGCTCCCGCTTCGCGGCCGCTCTCGCACTCCGCGCTCGCCAACACCCACTCGCATTGCCCGCGCGCTCTAAGAAAAATATCTCGTAGCAAAGAAATAAACGACTGTGAACAGACCAGAAATATTTCAACTGATTTTTATTTCTGCATGTCTCTATTACAGGTACCATCCGTGCAATTGTTGCAATCCGAGTTCTTAACAAGACTTCAGAGGAATACTGGTTCCTAATGAAATCCAACCTTTCCTACGTGGATGGAAATGTGGAGATAAAAAGTGCTGGGATGGTCACAGAATACTTCCTGGTTCGACTCCAAATTGATTCAAGGTTAATAATGTAACTTTAAATGAGATAGGTTTATGGCTCGTTTTTGTGTTGCCTTTCATTTAGATAAATTTTCACCAGGGATAAACCACAATAGCTTGCCGCTTAGTTGAAAGTTTCTGAAGTTATAAACTGTGGGATAAAGACTCTTGTAAGGTTTGACTTTTTATACTCTAAGACCGTCAGTTTTAACTGATTAATTTTCAACTTTGTCTCTGGACGGTTTACTCTGTGACCTACTTTAGCAACATCTTTGTGAATCGTTGAAAATGAAGCAGTTCTTCACCTAGACTGTATGCCATGCTCCAAGGTTCCACTCTTAGACAAGCCCCCCCACTAGGGGTTGTGCTGACTGTTAAAAGTCCGCATACGAGCCAGATGGCCCATCAGGGTAGAGCTTATCCCGGTTTCTGTAGCATGAAGTAACTAGGAGTATTTCTACTCCCCCCTGAATGGGATGCTAGTCCATCGCAGGGTTACACGTTTTTTAAATTCGCCGGTATGCATTTATACACTTGGGTAGAGAGAGGCACTGTGAGAGAAAAGTGTCTTGCCCGAGAACACAACACAATGTCCCTGGCCAGGGCTGGAACCCAGACCGCTCGATCCGGAGTCGACCGCACTAACCATGAGGTCGCCGCCCTTCCACGTGCTGACTGGCCTTCCAATAATTAAACGGCTACCTGTTTTGTCTTTTCTTAGGAGTACAGACCTAGAGACTGTCGAGTCATTTGAACTCTATGGACACCGTCACACTGATAAAGAACTCATTCGTCATATATACGGAATTCTTGATCAGCTTCTGCTAACCTTGAAACTCGACCTTTACGAAGACATTGATGGGGTAAAAGTGACTGACTCGCATGTAATTAATCCTGAAAGTTCCCCTCTGCTCCCTGGCTCCGTGAAAATGCACAGAGAGGCAAACACCACGGACCCGGACTCAGTTTTGATCAAAAATCATTTTGATCGAGCGGATTTCTTGAACATGTCATCTGACATTGATTTGGACTTGAAATATTACGATTTTGCGTTCATTAATAAGAGCCATGGAATGGTGACAGAAAGCCATGCGTACGTTTCTGAACAGCTGAATTTTGGAGAAGACATTCATTTCAAAGACAGTGTTGATGCCTCCATGATGAAGATAACTTTAACCAGCCACGTGTCGCTTCTAGAAACTGACGCCTTTTACCTTGGATACGCGGAATCTCAAGCGGTAAAATACCAATTTTTCGTGAAATTGGTCGTGCCAAAGTCCAGCCCTACATTTTCGGTTAAAGAACAGCCGCACAAGCCCGAAGGCGCTTCTAAAAACAGTGAGATGTCGCCAAATGCTTCCTTACCTGTCCACAACACAACAAACTCGTCAAACACAGCCTTAAAACGGTCTCGCAGAGCAAGCAACACCATACGTCGAATCTGGGAAGACGCCGATCCTATTTACCTCAGTGTCGAACACAGTTTCACATTGTTTGAGAAGAAAGTGATAGGAATAAATGTCAAGGGAGAGGGCACGGTTTGGATGGAAGATAGCAGCGGTATCGAAATAGGAACTGGATTCGATTTGGTTATTGCAGGGAAAACAGTGTCTTTGTTATCTAAGACGTACAAAAAAAATGAGTTGGAAGATGGAAAAGGCACACAAACAGGAATTGAGGACAGGAAAGGATTGGTAAGTTTGTTCACTCATGATTATCAGTATTCAACAAATAAATATATAGACTTCAGAGACTACAACATCCAGCGAGCGAAGCAAGAACGCACTGAGGGAAATATATTTATAACCCAGAGGAGGGCTACATTGTCCGTTTTACGTTTTATAACCCTTTCGCCCAATGTTTGTGTGTTCATGCATATGTCACTAGTGTTCCCGTGACTCCCACTTCAAATTTTGACAGGTCGTCTCTCCTTCACAGAGGCTTCCTAGGGAGGTAGGGAGAGAGGAAGAGAAGAAGAAGGAAAAGGAGGGTTTACAGGGGATGCGCGGACCTTCCCTCTCCCCAGCCTCCGAACTGCTAGGCTACACGGTCAAAGAGGTCTTCTGGGAAGGAGGGAGCCTGCGCGGTCGTTAAAGTGCAAGGGATATTTGTTGTGGTCACGGACATGGCCACGTAACCTTATGCCACAGTACTAATAATTTCCCAGGGTATATAAGATACACCCGACTGGACGCACTAAATTTGTTGGTGGTTCCTTTCTCTTCAGACAATCTATTTTCCGGTACTGTTCTTGTCGATCGGAGTGGATTTCTACGTGGAATTTAGAGTCAATTACGAGCTGAGCTTTCCTCCTGGGGACAATTTACTCAATCCGGTCAAGTTAACTGTGGAGGTAAACTTTAAATCCTTAAATCCTTCAATCTACAGCGTCAACATACAATTTCTCCTCGCCTTTTTCAAGGAGCGAGAGTTGATTAATATCAGTAAAATCTATTTTTGGTGATCATTTCCTTAATCCTTATTAGGACATGATTCTTAGTCAAAGCTTAATTTTTCTGAGACGATATTTTTCTTTTATTGATGACTGAACAACTTTATGAGTAGACTGATGAGAAAGCAGTTAAGTGTTTGATTCTTTCGATACTTTTTATGAATAGTTTCTGGTCACTTACAAAGCCCTTCGTGGCCTCGCTCTTGCCTATTTTAACTTTCATCTCGCACCTCAGCGTTTGCATCGGTCAAGAAGCTCAAATCTACTGTCTATTTGAAAGACCAAAACGACTTTTTATAGCGACAGATCTTTGTCTGTTAATTAAAGCACCAAGGCGCACCAATGATTTACCAAATGACATCAAACAGTGTTTCTCTGTGGACTGTTTTAAATCAAGGTTGAAAACTTTTCTTTTTAGAGAGCGTTTTTAGATTAGGGTTTTTATGTACAAAACTAAAAAGCATTGCAATTGAGACTTTGATGTGATACTATGATGCATTTCTATGAACCTGTTTACCCTTCTTCTGCAACAGCTAATTCCTTTCTTAACTTGGCATGTTATTACCATTTGAGACACGTTTTGTTCGGTTCTAGTCATTCGTAAGAAATAAGATCTGACTCGTCCACAGTCGTTTCAAAGATCCACTGAATCTCATTGACTGCAAGAGAGTAGGGTTATCTCTTTCCCAGATCTCTTGTGGGCGGCAAGAGATCTGGGAACGAGATTGAGAGGAGCGCTTTCTTCCTACGATCCCGTCCGTGTCCCCGAGGAGTTTCATCCAGGTTCCCTCGACTGTCGCCATGGACTTTTAAACAGACGACTGGGGACTAGTCAGATATTAGACGTAGAAATAAGGAGATTAAGTTAATGGGATCTACTCATACATCAAGCTGTTTAATGATCCTCAATACGGACATCTCGTGGTCCCTTCGTTGCCCGTATCAAAGGGGTTTCACTTTTATTTTATCTCGTTTAGATTCAGCCTTATGCAGAAGCGACAACTGGTGTTGAAGTATACCTTTCAGCGGGCGTTATCCGAGGTGGCGTCTATTTAGAGGGTACACTTGTACGTGTTGGCCTCCCTGTGACTTTGTCTTACCAAGCAGACCGTTTCCCAGGCCAGAAGTGGTGTGTGGCCCTTTCTACTCAGCTAACTGCCCTGGAGGTGAACGGTGGTGTTTTCTATCAGTGGTGGAACTGGTGGTGGTGGGACTGGGGCACACGACACACAATATGGAACTTCGGAACATGGGCTGCCATAAATAGAAATTGGCAATTGTTGTCAAGATGCGGTTAAGGAGGTATATCACCAAGGCCTTGAGAAGTTACCTTCGTACCAATCAAGGAACACTGACTTATCAGTAGTAGACGTGTGACTGCGTGTGTTTGAACATCTCCTTTCGGGATGTAAGTGCGTTTTTTCGAGTCTATATATGAGAAAAAAAAACCCGTAATCTGTAGAGCCTCGGTGGCTAGCGGAATTTCGCGCGCAAGTTTCAGCAGTGGTGGGGAGGGGGGCGGGAGGGGAAGCAAACATGAGACGGGAGGGTTTCTTCGTGACCTCGCCGCTCTCACTGGAGGCCTCGCCGTCGAAACGAGGCACCTGCGAGCGAAATTCCGCCAGCAACAATGGTTTCCTATTAGTGCTTAAGCGGGTCTGCTAATAACCCGTTAGCTTAGAGATTTTTGTTAGATCGAGTGTTGATTGACCATATCGTTAATAAGCTTCTTCCCTGGATCAGTAGACAGTGGTGGAACAGGTAAAATAATAACGTAATTCTTTTCATACAACTTCAATGAAAATACTGTAACTCTTTTTCAAGCTTATCACTTCAGTAACCCCTTTAAAAGGGATAGGATAGAGGAGCGCATGAAAACCAGCTAAGGCTGATGTGGCTTTCTCTATGAAGATTGCAATTAATAGTTAGATGAATAAGTCGTTAGGTGCGTCCGTGCGAGATAATTTGAAAAGCTCTTTCGAATATCGATCTAAATGGCAGTTTTCCCTACCCTTTTGTATTTAGGCGGAGCCTTCCCGTATCCCCCACTGTAGGGAGTACCCATCCCCATTCCCTGGGATTAATTAGCTGTAAAGAAAATTCACGTTTCAACGAGAAACGAAACCAGCAACTTTTTGCCGGTTCAGCACGGATGAAATGGGGTTTTGTGTGAACTCGCTTGTATCTAAGTGAACCGGGTCGAGGCCAGAGGCCTGTGTGCGTGTCTGCATGCAATAAAACAATTCCTGTGTCTCCTGAGAGTTTTAAATAACTAGCGAGCACAATAGCGAATTTACTTTTCAGTCAGCTCGTTTAAAAACAGATCGATTTGTCGCCGTCAAGGACCGGAGACTTTTCCTAGAGAGCTTAAGCAGACCACGACGGTAACGGCACCAAACAAAAGATTTATTGAGTGGAACAATAGCTGTGCACGTTTTTGTACATTTCTTTGCCTTCCTCTGCACAACAACAACGTGAAATGACTAAGTTCAGCGCATTTTGACGACGGCAGCTGATTTTCGTATTTTTATTTGGAATTGAACTCTGGCGTTACATATCTAGCTTGAGAAAAGATGTAGACATCTTATTAAGTAGAAGTTTTAAAAAGGTAACAATAAAATATGAAAGGGCTTAATTTCTAATAAAGGTTGAATAGCAATCTCTCGTGACAGTATGACTTTCAGACGGGGTAAGGTATAAACAGCACGCGGTGATTGTAAGATTGGGTGTGGTTGCAAATAAAGCCTATCAAAAGAGAGCCCTCTTTCATTTTTTTCTTACATTTATGATTCGATTAAAAAAAAAACTCCCCGCTCCCTCTCTCATAAGCTGGCCCCTTATGTTCTTGAGGGTTCAACAATCTTCCTTCAAAAATACGTACAACAACTTGTCCGTTAATTGTCACGTTTTCTTTAACACCTCTCTGAACTTGCACATTTACGAAGTATTTTAAAATGCTCATGTCAAAAAATCAGTCAGACAAACACAAAACAAATACGGGTTCTCCACCAAGTTAGCACTCTGTATAAGTAAGTAAGTTAGTAACTTCATTTCAATACAGTCATATTAATATGCCGAGAAAAAAAAATATAAATATAAATATAAATATAAATCTATCTATCTATCTATCTATCTACCTACCTACCTACCTATCTATCTATCTATCTGTCTATCTATCTGTCTGTCTGTCTATCTGTCTATCTGTCTGTCCATCTGTCCATCTGTCTATCTATCCATCTATCTGTCTATCTGTCTATCTGTCTATCTATCTATCTATCTATCTATCTATCTATCTATCTATCTATCTATCTATCTATCTATCTATAAACCAGTGAATCATAGAAAACTGTACATCACAAATTTAGCTCTCTTACAGCATTCATAAATTCCTTAATGATTGTCATTGAACGTAATTCATCCGGTAAAGAATTCCACACTTTGGCTCCAATAATAGAGTCTTTGGAGTCCGAATACTGAAATAAGTTAGCGCGCTAGGGCCTGGTAGTTGCAAGTGATGTTGAATAATCTGAGGCACCGTCGTCGAACGAAAAAGAAGAACTTGAGACCGCGAGTCATCTTCTTTCACAAATCAACCCGTCATTTTAATATTCTTGAGCCCTTATTCGCCAATCAACTTCAGGCAACTAACTGTTGACAATGGATGCTAAAGATTTGCACACATTGCGTCTACAAATTGAGCTATAACTAGCCAATTAGAACATCGTTTAGAAACACCGGCTGGAGTCTTTGATGCTGTAAGCCGCCGCCCTTCGAATCCTGCAGATGTTTCGCACGACAAAACTTGATACTTGATACTTGATACTTGAGGACTTTCCTGAAAACCACCTTTGTGTGACTGGAAGCCTCCTCTTAAAATATTGATTTATTATTATTTATCGGTATTATGCTGACGTAGTTCGCGCATGCGCGATAGTTAATCGAGCAGCTGGGTCGAGCAGAGGTTACCTCTGGTCTCTCACCGAGCAGAAAGACATGAGAACTTCTGTCTCGTCGGGAAATCTCTTCGAGCTGTTTAATTTAAAAGGGAGCTTTGCGTAGGCTATAAAAGGTAGGTAACCGTTTTCAATCATTCAAAGTAGTCGTGTTGTGCCGGAGTCACTCATTGCGCTGGCCAGCTCACGCGAGATGGTGAAACCAGATCTGTCCTCGTGTACCTGTACAGAAGAACCGATATAAAAGACCCAACAATACACAACAGCTATAATGGTTATTCCCTCTGTGTACCGGTACACCAGGACACAACCGTGGTAACGCTTTTTGAAAAGTATGTCAGTTTGAATAAAGATAAATTTGTCTAAATTCTTTGGCTTTTTCTCACCTCTTCACTTCGATACACTGAATTCAATGAACGTCTAGTCTCTGAAACGAATTTGGTAGCTGTTTGAAAGAGCTGCACCAAAGAGCGCGTGTTCAAGACTACTTGAAATAAAATTATGTCATATTTTAAGTCTTACGTCATATCGGTATAAGTATTTTGCTGCGGTATACCTCAGAGAATTCTGATGTCTTCTTGACGCGCTATACTCACTGTAGATGTAAGTGATCTCAAATAAAGCCGACTACGGAAGAAATGATTAATGATTAGTATCTAATGATTTTATTGGGTAACATTAG